TATGAATATGTTAGTAATGTGAATATGGTAGCTAGGAATGATTTCTATACATTTTTACATACACAGACATAATATTATTAAATTACCAAACTAACTTCATACTTATTCAAATTTATACGACTGATCACATTCTACTCATTCTAGTGCTGAAAACAATAAATTAAAAGCAGAGAGTCAGTACATATGTATTGCGAAATGAAATGAAATGGGGTTAAACGTTCTACTCCGACTGGGCTAATGAAGACGGGCATACATCATACAGTGTGCTATGAGGGAAATTTTGCCTGGGCGGCAGCCTACTATTATATCAAATTCCAACTGCCAAGGGATCTTTTACATGCACGCCAATGTACACAGGGGACATTGGTGTTTTGTCCATCCGAATAACTAGATATAAATAAAATAAACATTCTAATGTGTAAGGATAAGATATTGGCCTAATAGTGTGTCCTTTGCGGATCAAAAGCAAGCTTTATATTGCAAAATACAGTCCTAATTATTACTATATCATCTATTTTAATGTCATTATGATCGTAGTACCCTTGCAAATACTGAATGGATCAGGGTTGATGGCGAAGTAATATTAAATTTGTTTGGGCTGTATTTAGTGTCTGTAATTTGTACTCTTCAATAAAAATAAGTTTGGAGAGTTGAACAGATGACCTAATTAAGCTTGAGGGAACATATCTTTAAAAGAACAGTCTATAAATTGGTTTGTATATTATCTATTGTTTTAAAGTAATTAAGTGTCATTAAGTTATACATTTTAATTAAACTGCAGACTGACTGTCAGGTTTCTCAGTGGACATTGGATGCTGAAAGTGAGCCAAGTTATTGCCCTGATTTATACTCCTAGCCAATATATTTTAAACTCTGTGGATGTAAATTAAACTTTATATGTTATAAATACCAGGTTTGTATTGATCAATCAACTGCAAATTTTTGTTTATGATTTGAAACTAGATTTAAAGTGAGTATTGATTTAAATGATAACCTCCTTCCAACAGATAAAATCTGACAAGTAGTTTAATCAATAGTTCCATTAGTTAATAATTTAACACACTTTACATTTTACATCAAACATCATGCACTTATCGTTTATTCAAAGAACGATTTCTACTCCCAAAATACACCCTGAAGAAATGTGGACACTATTTTAAGAAAATCAAAATACTTTTCCTGATGGCATTATCCTTAATTAAAATGATTAATAAATCGATTAAAAGGCTCTGACTTAAAAATATTGCGAACTTGGCAAGACTTTTTCGGTTTTTCAGACAAGAAAATGACAATCTTGAGCTTTATCCCTGTTTAAAGCTTTAATTCTTATTTCATGTAATCTTGCTGACAGGACAATTTTCTGATTGGTCAATTTCTATGCCATTGAGTCTGTGAACAGAAATGAAGATCCCCAGTGTTGAAATTAAACTTGCGAAATGCTCTCGCAACACTGCCCATATCATAGGAAAAACAATATATGTACTGTATACAAAATCTACATTCCATTCTAATAATGACACATGATATCATACAGCTGAAAAAATATCGAACATAGTTCATTTTATTTTCATCAATAAATACCAATTTAGGTTGTTTTTATTGCAACTGTTTCCTGGAGATTGACAAGATTTACTTGTGCACTGATTAAATTCAAGTATTTGCTCATTGACACTCAACAATTTTGTGGATCGGTGGAAGAGCATCCATTTGCTTTTTAATATCAGTAACGAAACTCGAAAACACATCAGACACCTCATATATGGTTACTCTGAATGTCATTTGATTTTGTAGACGAATTTGAAACGACTTTGGTGCCAAGACACCGGAACTAATGTACAATTTCCAATTATATCTTCTACTAGGTATTACGGTCATGCTACGATGTTCACTCAAATAACACGACTGGGCCAAAATGGCAAGAAACTTCGTATTGATTGCTGACGAACTCTTGATAAAATATTGACTAACCCCTAACAGAAAGTGAAAAAGCTGTTAAATATGAGAGTGGGAAATGACAGACGGTCATTTCTAATGTATCATGCTACTGTAATTCTCCTGTTTCTACTAGATTATATTTATCATACCATATACGGTCTTCATCTTTTTGCATGATGGGTAGGTCAATATAGGTCACTAATAATCATTTGTGTAGCTGTTAAGTAAATAATCAATATGAAGCGGTAAGATGGTCTCTTAAGGTATTAATTGATGAAGTAAAACAATTATGTTAGCCCCCTGGTATCTATTATTATCAGTATCTATTTACAAGTGGTATCAATGTTATAGTGAAATATTCCAGTCATGTATAATCAATATATACTCATATTTATTACTCTATAATTCTTATTAATTATCAAAGTGTTTATATAGAATATTATCTTATACATAGATAATAACCACTTGAAAATGATGTCTTTCAATAAGGAAATACTAAATATTATTTATTTACATGTTTACGGATTCAAAAAGTTACTAATCTGGGAAATATTCATTTTCAAATCTATAATTAATTATTCTCAGTGGCATGCAGAGTTTGGAGATGCCAGGGCCAACTTATTGATAGTCTGCCCCCAAGACTCGAGTGGTATAAAGGAAGACATTTTAAATAAACTTTTTATTCAAATTGAAAAGGACAGATTTTGACAACAAAGTTTTAATTTCCCACTTTGATTTGATGCTGTGAGCCCCTCACCCCTTTGCCCCCATGCTACATATTATTCTAAACAGAACTTCCAAGTACTATTGCAGAATTTAAGACCTGATTTTATACCCCCTTTTTCCCATTGCTCACCAATTAAGATTCTAGCCATTCTTCATGAAGCAATGGAATTAAAGAATCTTATGTCAACTGAAGTTCAAGACCTGTTCTAATTTACGAAAAATTATCTTTTGCCTCTCTAGATAATTAAGTAAGAAGAGTCATAATGTCAAGTCCTGTGATGATATAGATGTGCTCTATGTGGCCTTATTTAAATAACTGAGTGATTGGGGGCTGCTCTGGGATGTCAGTGTAGTAACCGATCATGGCTGACAATCTATCATAGAGGTCACTTATATTAAACTATACCTGACATTTGATTCCATTTAGATATTGGTTTCTGATCAAATTCCCTTAAATTCCCATGATTGATGGCATGCTTTACTCCTTGTCTCAATCAAATTCTCTCACAATTAACCAAAAAACCATGGTGGATTGGGAGGTTTACATGACGTTATCGCTCGGCTGACCTGATGAAGCGCTTCCGTAACAAAAAGCCAACCAAATAATCCAATAGACTTGAATTGAATCAAGCCAATATTCACTCTTTTTACAATCACTTAACAAAAGCCATTTGTTTAATCAACACTTGTGACCTAGTGAATCTATTCTTTCAACCAAATTTACCCAAATCAAAGAATCGGTTTCCATTTTTCTCACTCTTCAAATAAACTCCAACAACCTCCTAATCAATGCCTGGCTTTTCTGAATTAATACCCTTCACAAAATTTAATTAATATGATTTACGGCAAAACCCGGTCAAATCTCTATTGGTTAAAAGAGTTAGAAGGAAATGACGTCCACACAGACAAATATTTAGAATACTAATTTGCGTAAGTGTTTAATTTGATGGCCATTGTTTGGCTTTATGCTACTTTAACTCTAGCCTTGGGGAGTTATCAGAGCTTATTTATTCAAGGTATAAATTAAAGTTGACAATGAATATCTACTTCATTGTCTAAGCCATAGATTACAGTGGTCTATTAACCCCTTGGTGCCCACATTTAGTAAATTAGTCAATAAACCAACAAGCTTTTATACTTTAAATTAATCGACTAGGTATGACCTCAGTTATTAGTACTGCTTTGCTTGTCCACTGCAAGAGACATCACATTAAAGTATGTTTGTTCCAGAATGTAACCAAATATTGGCATTATCCACTTTAAAGAAGCCGTCCTAGATGTCACAGGGTACCACCCTATTAAAGTGGGTTTAAACAAAAAAAAACAAGGATTTAACTGGATACGGCTTGACTGAAACTTTTGGCCCAAAATTATGATCCATTTGCAAATGATCATTACAATTACTTAACTTGGTTACATAACATATTGTTCAATTCTATAAAAATCACAACGATCACTTAACACTGTAACTCAGACAAGTACGTAGATATGGCTATCTAGGCACCTGGAGATAGTTTGGAATTTGGAGAAGTTTATGTTTCTACCATATAACTTTAAATAGCCAAGGAGTCTTCCATGCAGAATTCATTAAAGTAAATTTGGTACGGCTCCTTTACACCACTTCAACCTACATTTTATCAAATACTTCTCATAACTCTCCAAAATGCTTCAGTTTTTTCCTTCTTTTTGAGCCAAGAAATTCCAAATGAGATATATCACAATAAAATTGTGTAAACATTGAAAACTTTTGATATATCAGAATAAACAGATTAACAAAGGTATGTATTTCAAAGTATGAATTGAATTTATATTAAAGGGGATCATGTACACTTGAAAATATTACAGTCTTTTGATTTGAATTTCATCACAGACACAGAAGGATCTTTTAGATGGATGGTCAGGTAGCCATTGTCTTACTTATAATTGGTCAATTTGAATGATTTTTGGACCATTATGATTTTTGGTAAGACAACTTTTGCTATATCTATCTATATTTGTTTTTATTGTATTCTGACATGTTGACCGTTTATGCTTTAAATACAGCTCAAATTTCAAAACAGAAAGTTTCTATTGTTTGTCTCCATATCGCTCTTTCAAAATAGCCTTGTAAGTCATGTGAGAAAATTGTTGAGAAAAGTTTACTAATTTAGTGTTTGCTTGATGATATCAATCATCCAATGAAGGAAAATAAAGGCTACAGGTAATTATTGGTCTCTAGAGATATAAGCTTTATGGTAATTCAAATATTGTATAAGGGGGGAGGGATAATCTGTGTATAAAAAATATTGTTCGTTCCATCATCAAAGTAACCAATTAAAAATCATTTTTCCAGTTCTTACCTATATTTTGTTCCGCAATCAACTTTAGTTAACCAGGTCCATGATTTATCCCAATTAGAACAGGCTGCTGGTACACGCTTTAATACATGAACTCTTTTAGCTGGAGTCTGAACCCTGAAAAATACAAGATAAATTACATGTTTGGAGGTAATTTTTTTTTTAACCTATCAACTTAAATAGAAATTTTATGTCTGTCGAAAACATGTAGGGTAGCAATCAGAGGGTATTGTGTCTTTTTGTTATTTAAAGAGCTTTTCAACTGCATCCGACATTATTAAATACAGCAGACACAAATCATATTTATTGACTTTTCTGTCTGCTCAATTCAGAGGGAAAAGAAAAGGTACATATACCCAAAGCCATACAAAAACGCTTAATTTTTCAATTATGTTTTCCAATAAGTTTTCAGGTACTTTGATCACAGTGTGATCGATACAAAGATTATTAATATTTCTCCTCTTTATCTGGTAGTCTTTCTAACTAAATGAACTTGTTGTTAAATCAGTTTTAAAATGATTGGTTTATTTATAGGGATGATATTGATTAAGGACGAAGGGGTAGCCAAGTAAAGAAACAAGTTAGATCACTAAATACAATTACTTCTTGTAATTTCTTAAATTCTTACATGTCAGAACTTCCTGCCTTAATGGTGTTTCTAAGATGGATAAAAATTACTTTCCAGACATGAATGGGGAAAAAAACTCTGTCCAATTTTTATATTGTTGGCGTTGAAGAGGATACGAAGGTAAAGCAAATTATCTTCAACAATAGCGGCATGTACAAACAATAGTCATCAAGAATCTAATGTGTACATATAACTTGAGAAAAAAGTCAATGTCAGAAGGGGTAAAGTGTATTGGAGAAACTGTCTGATTGATTGGACAGACAAATTGCTCTTGAAATTTCTGCTAAAAAATGCAATTGAATTTGAAGGGGTTTTCTCCATATGGATTTTCTGTCGAACAATATTTAAACTTGTCAAAAAGTACAGAAATATGCCTTCCCAAATCTGATTGTGTCTTTAAATTGGATGGGTACAAGTATTTCCTGGGTCTCAAAGGTCCCCAGCACAAATATTTCGAGTACTTCTCAAAACACATTGCTTTCAGACCCTGACAAAATAAAAGTCTTTTTCATTTAGTCAACTTGAGTTCGTTATCAAATTAACTGTCAAAAAGGTTTCTCCTCTCAGGATTACATCCAAGAAATGAAGCAATTGAAGACTTCTTCCAACACACTACTTATGTTGAAGCAAGTACCATGGATGACGTATTCTAGACTTGGCTAACTTTAGTTCAAATGAATCATGGTATAAAGGGTTATTTAGAGAAGCGTTAATAATTTCTAACCGTATACCACTATAGTCTATCTGATGTTTACAGGCCAGACTTCAACAAACATGTATGGTAACCTTCAATATATATATATCTAACTTCTAGAAATTCTTACTGAGCAAAACATAACGATGTATGGTACATTTGCAACAAGAGTAATTGATGCATTGTATATACAATCTATCAGTCTTGATATATCATAGTATGACTATAATCAAAATATTGGTTAATCCCATGCAGAACAGCTAATGTCAAATAATGTACTTTACATTTCGCAATGTTTTAAAATTCTATTGTTTATCTTTGCTCTTGATGTACAATACTAATGGATTATTGATGCCATAGAATGGAATTGAATAAGGCCAGGGCAGCAAAAAAGCTTGCTGAAGAATTTAAAGGCCACAGAATAGCTTGCTGAAGAATTTAAAGGCAAAGGAATAGGCTGCTTTCCTTTTCATCCAATGTCAGATATCAAGGAACTCTTAAGAAATGAGATGGGGTTTAATGTCCTACTGTTCTGTTCCAACTGGGCTATTGAAGACAGGTATATGCCATACAGTGTGCTATGAGGGAAATTTTGCCTGGGTAGTTATATCAAATTACAACTACCAAGGGATTTTTTATGTGCATGCCAATGTATACATGGGACCTCTGCTTTTTGTCCCATCCAGATGACTAGGCAGCTGTCCATGTCAGGCCCTCCGTACTGCACCACTGACAAGGGGAAGACAAGTCAGAAATTCTGATGAACTTTCTCGGCCAATGCAGGGATCAAACACGCCACCTCCAAACTAGCGAGCGAGCTTCTTATCTGCTTAGTCACCATGGCTCTGAACTCTTTAAGAAATTTGGGGGGGGGGGGGGGTGGTGGTGGATGGCTGAATGGTTAGCGTGCACGCGCTGTATCATAAAGTCTGTCATTGAGTCGACTGGCGTGGTTTCGAATCCCCGGGTGTACGTGGCAAGGAGTAGGGTCGCCTGTCCAAGCTCGTGGGTTTTCTCCGGGGCCTCCGATTTCCTCCCACTGCTAAAGACACCTACGCGCAAGCAAATTATATAAATAAAATTAAACCATATGTTAGTCCTGAAATGACCTAGTTTGTGTCAAGTGGAGGTTAAACCCCATTTCTCTCTCTCTCTCTCTTTAAGAAATTTCAGTAGGACGTTAAACCCCATTTCATTTCATTTCTTAAGAAATTTAGGTATGACATGTAAGACTTGCTGCTTAACCTAAACATCGCTTCACCCTAGCACATTATTGAAATAAATATGTACCATATTTTAGTCTCAAAATGTTCTAGTTAGTGTCAAGTGGAGTTAAATCCTCTTTCTGCCTCCCTCCATCTTTGTACAAAGATGAAAATCTATGTATTAAATCACTATGTTCCATCTACTAAACTACATTTATTTTCATGTTTCTTGCTAGCTTCAAATCCTACTTGTGAGAAGTACGAATAGTATGGATTTCCTGGGATCTGCCTCAATTAATGCTAGGTGTAATCTGGCCAACAAGTTTTACAGCTGCCTCTCACCATTCTGTTAGGATCCATACAATGTTGAGCAAGTCTTGCTGCTAATCAATGGTGTGTAATTAAGTTAGTACTACAGTAGTACCACGATGATCTATACATGAAACAAGTAAATGTGTGTACAGTACATGTAGAATGTAAACAAAAAAGACCGGTGTATCCAGCCTTATTGATCTAATTATAAACTCAAACACTTTTGTTGTTCTTCGGAAATTACATGTCAGTTTCCCATTTAGCAGACTTGAAACTCTAATCGAGTACACAGTATGCATAAATGCAACTCTTAATTGTTTTTCATATTGGGAAGAAATTAACCCTTGTTTTATCTAATACAACACTAGGTTCTACTACTCATCTTTGATTTAATGAGTCCTTCAAAGATTCAGATAGGAAACATTTTAATTTTGTTTGATAGCATGTAACATCCAACCTGAAAGTTGAAACTACATGTACATAAATTTATTAAGGCAATCCCTAACATTTTAAACATTAAGTTGCAATGAAGATGTTCAGTGCATGCCCATTACAAAGCACATCATTTTCTTGTACCATCTTAAAAATACCTGGGAGCCACGGCGACTCAGTGAGTAAGACGTTGGCTCGCTAACATGAAGATCCTGTGTTCAATCCCTGCGTTGGCCGAGAAAGTTCATCAGGATCTTTCAATTCATTAAAAGTTGGTTCTTGAAGTACAATTAGTCTAAATAGTTCTTTTCTTCTTTCAGCGTGGCTCAGTGAGTAAGACGTTGCCTAGCTTATCTGGAAGTCCTGTGTTTGATCCCTGCATGGTTCCTCCTTGTCAGTGGGACAATGTATAGTTGTTCGGATGGGACAAAAAAAACGAGGTCCTGTGTATCACTTCCTCAAATGGTAACCGATGAGACCATTTTAAGGAATGGTAGCTGATTATTAAACCCAATTATATCATTTTTTAACAAATGGTAACCGATAAGACCCAATTATATCACAGTAAGGAATGGTAACTGATTAGACCCAATTAAATCACTTCATCGAATGGTAGCTATATATCACCTTAAGAAATGTAACCTATAAGACACAATTATATCATTTTACCGGTTAGACCCAATTACATCACTTCATCGAATGGTAGCTGATTATATCACCTTAAGGAATGCAACCGATAAGACCCAATTATATCATTTTAAGGAATGATAATTGATAAGACCCCATTATATCATTTAAAGGAATGGTAATTGAATATAAATAGTAATTGTAAACATAAAATATACTTACGGAACAGCTTTAGTGCATCGTTCAGCGGCAGAGGTGATTACAAAGATAAGTTGTAATGAAAGAGTATAGAATACTGCACCAATCATACCCTTGTATATAACTGTAAATAACATGTTGTTGGTTAGAAATCACATAACAGTCTCTCTACATCTAAACAGGCTGTAAAATAAAAACATTAACATTTATAACAAATTATTCTCATTCAAATCAAATAGTAATACATTCAAGCGGAAATTGAACAACGTGAATATCATATGTAAACAGTACACTGTGTGAATCATATCATATCCAATACAAAACTGTAAAATGTCAACATTTACATGCACAAATGCTGTAGTATATATGTGTAGACACAGAATCCACTAAATGCTTTTAAAAAAAAAACCCACTGAAATTCTGAATTCATTAACCTTTCAAGCTTGAAAACATTTTCAGCTTACGGTGCTGAAATCATCAATATTCTTGTAAAGGGTACTCTTAAACTTTATTGTTTTGTTTATCCTTGAGATTCTTATCATTATTTTGCATCAATTTGTGCAAACCTAAGCACAAAGTTATGAAAATAATTAGCGGGTACTGGAGCCTGGCCTCCTGAATTCCATTTTTCTGAAAGCAGGTTAAATTTGCATTAAGATACAATTTTGTGTAATTTAGAATAATTTACTGAGAAAATGTGTCAATTTGCCAATTGTTTGACAATAAAGGATAGATTTGGCTCATATTTTCAACTTTTGGGGGAAAATTTATTTGGGCCGACCCTCTTACTGATCTGAAATATATGTATAAAAAACACTTACTAAAGCTACTTTAAGGTGTTATTAACTTATTTCCTAAAAGAACCATAAACTTTTTAATACTAGCACCATAAAATAGCCTAATATTTATTATCATAATAGAAAATTATCAGGTTCTATTGTGTTCATCATAGTTAACACATTATTTAATAACTAAACCTGATAATTTCTAATGTTACACAATATAACTATGTTAAAATTCACTCAAGTTATCAACCAATTATCTCAATTATCATTAATTATATACTGGTACACATATATTCAATGCTAAACATCGTTGTACAATGTATAATTAAATCTCTTGGCGCAGCTGGAACCACCCCTGTGTTTTAGTAGTCATGTAATCAGGAGAATTAGCCTGGTTTCTGCTTGTCAAATCAAACAGTATTTGAGGGAAAGTGCAGCATTTAGAATGATAGTTGTAAATGTCATGAGGTATAATTGTCATGCAATCATCAATAATCAAGTAATAGATGGATGATTGAACAAGAATTATAGTTAATAGTGGCTTTTAATGAATGATTGACAAATTCTACCACATCTTTTCACTGTCGTCAATGAGGTGTGAGTAATCAGCCATATGCTGGAGGTTATTGTCACAGGTATAGACTAAAAGAACTATAGGCTATAGTCTTTGATGTTCATTGACCAAACATTTTTCAAGTAGAAAATACGATGAAAGTCAATTGTTTGTAAGCAATGAATAATTTTACAAAGTAAACACAGCTTCTTTATAAATTTTTCAAATAAATTGTTATAAGTCTCTATCTTGATTGTCAACGAAAATAAAATATAAAGCTTGGTCTCTCCTCAAGCATTGGTTGATTTCAAGACCTCTATCTGGGTATTCTCATTTTCCTATGGCAAGGAGTCAAGAGCTATACGGCAGTCCCACTAATGTGTTGTGGGATATTATCTATGGTCATTTTACATCAGTAATAGGACAAAAGTTAACAGCACACCTAATCATTTTGTATGCTGAGTGGCTACATATTACAACATCTATGTCCTTGTAAGTAGTTGAACCATCAGAATAAATATCAGTTTGATATTAAAGGTGTATAGCTTAGGCAGGGTCAGAGTTTTTTCATTGGTCAAATTTTCAACATTTATGATTATTGCATTACTTGCTGACTATTTGGTCTTGGTGACCCCGACTAATTAATGGTTAATTGGACGTCTTGTTTACCAAGACTAAATTTGGTTCGTAAATGAGATATTTCAGTGAAAGCACCGGGTCTTTATTCATGTGGCACAAAGTACCCAAAGTAAACCCTTGAGGTTAGGCATGAGACCCCTACTCAAAGTCATGTCAAATCCTAGAAAATGAACCTATGACTTGCATAGATAGAAAATCTACTCTGTCTCCCAAGTCCCAATCCTCCATTTGTTAAACTAAAAGAACAAAATGCTTCTATACTGAACGTAAATCTTATAATTAAATTGCTTAAATCTTCCTTTTTTCACATCTCATAAATGTCTTACACAGAGGTAATTAAAAAACGCCCATTAGTTATAATAGATTCCATATAATATAATTATACATTATTATCAAATTATACACCAATCCAACTTTCTATTATCTTAATGGTAATTACCAAAAGATAATTATCACTATTTTCATTACTGCGGAATTTCTTAAAATGAAAGTTCTGTTAGTTCTGATATTTGCAATCACAAAAACTGTTTCCATTCCAAATTTCAAAGTCAAAACTCTGTCTGCTACAAATACTTATAGTTGACACAGATTTGTTAAGTACCAACCAGCAAGATACAAATGGGTGTTATCTTATATGTGCAGAATATAATTAAAATTATGAGATGGCATAGGGTTTAATATCTTGTCAACCCATTAAGTGTGTCATTTTGGGACTAACAAGCTTTGATTTTGAGACTGACATACTTTCATTTTTATCATTCAAAACTAAAACTAGATGATTTTTACTTCCATTTATTCGATTGGTCAATCCATTAACATTTAATTGTTAACATTCTCATTGTACCATTAACCTTGATTAGACAGCCAATCAAATGCCTGGATAATAAAAGCCTTTCAAAAGATTAGTCCCGAAATGACCTAGTTTGTGTCGAGTGGACATTAAACCCCATTTCTCTCTCTCTCTTTCAAAAGATTTGATGGAATTTTCTGCATCACTACTGTTAACTATGGTATATCTGGAGATGACCTATCCCAACCTTTGCATTGCTACCAGTAAATGTACTTTAAAAATAAGTATCTTTAGAACTTGGCTTTAAGAAATCATAAAGTTCTTCTGCACACATATGCTGGGATTAAAATGATGGACATTACGTACTTAAAGAATGCAGTATACTTTTACATTTCCAATCATAAAATAGTTTATTATGATTGCTTTAGAGATTTCTATTCAATATTTGACAAAAGGTTACAAAAAATAAGACAATACATAGCATTTAAGAATAATAAAGTATATCAATCTATACTGCAGACTGTGTTATTGAACTCCCCAGACAAGTTTATTCACACAGCAAATAATAAAATTATATTTGTAATTTATTTAATGAACGGTTTACTTGTACATCAAAGCTGCGTCTAGATGAATCATATTATTGAGTTTCTGATCAGTATCTTAATATGGGCTATAACGTTGATTTGTTCCACTGTAGGTAGTTTATCAACACTGTAATACAACAACTATATCACTGTTGTTCATTTGGTGCAACCTCATTAGAAAATTAATTGTTAATATTTGTTTTTCATCATTACTGAATACTTAAAGTTTCCATTCCCAGAAAAGTATTTATCGGGTGGTTATTTCCTATAAAAGTATGGCAATTTTGGTATATATGGAAAGTAGAAATATCCAATCTTACTAGAAAAATACGGGATTCCCTGAAAAACACCCATGGAGCGCATACAGGACAAAAATGTAAGGGTTTCCCTAATCGGGAGCCTGACGATTAGGAATGTCTGCTAGTGTGACGCCAAAGGTTGCACACGGTGATTGAGCGCTTGATGTACATGTTGATAAACTTTATGAAGAGTTAGACGTACAACACTTTCTGAGATAAAAATCACGGAAAAAGATGTGGGCAGTGTTTAATCCGAGAATTTAATTAGGCTTCGCTATTTATGATAAATGGAAAGCGATTTAAGACAACGTCGTTTTGTGTATGCAATGAATTCTCCTCTGACTTTGCACCCGTTGCTAGGTAGTTCGTCAGCGAAGTCACGTGACACAAACATGGCCTCTTTTAATAGATTTTTTTACAGTGGGGGTATTCCCTCGCGTAAACAGTGTTTTGAGAAGGATTTGAAGCAAAATTTTGATAGATTAATTAGTTTGAATATGTTTTTAGTCCAAATACATCATCAAATCACCCAGTTTGTACACGGGAACATATCTTTAATGTTAAAATATTCACCACCGATTCAGAATTTATAGGACCAATTTACACAAATGTAGAAAGTACAATTCAATAGTGTGCAAAATGAACACTGAAAAAAGACCGGCAACTGCCACCCACACCTCAAATTGGAAGCAGTATTATGTGTTCTGGAAAGAGTTAACATACCCTGCCTCATGTACAACACCCACCACTGCCTGTTCCATAATGGAGAACTAGTGTTGACTTGGAAATTACTTAAAGTTACTGGTTGGAATCTAACTGCAAAACTGGAGCGGCAATACTATATACCGGAAAACACCGGAAAACACCATTTTATACTGAATACCGGAAAACACTCGGAAAACACTGGAAAAACACTAAATACCGGAAAACACACTAAATACCGGAAAACACACTAAATAGGTAATCTGGAGACTGGCACCCTAAATAGGTAACCAGGAGCCTGGTCCTCTGTGTGCCTGGGTTAGGGTTAGGGTTAGTTTCCAGTTTATAGTATAGCCCTTCTCCGGGTTACCTATTTAGGGTGGTTTCCGGTATTTAGTGTTTTTCCGGTGTTTTTCCGGTGTTTTCCGGTATTCAGTATAACATGGTGTCTTCCGGTAGTTTTCCAGTTGTTGTCCGGGTTTTTCCGGGGTGTTTTTCGGTGTTTTCCAGTATATAGTATAGCCCAAACTGGAGTAGTACTAACTTTAATAGTGTAAGTCGGTTCAACTTCTGGAATTTTATCATGGCAAGACCCAGAATTGGTATGGCAAGCGAATAGAATATATTGGTGAGCTAGATCAAGTGTTTATGAGACATACTGTCTTTCCACTGCTTATCTGCATATATAGTTGGCAAGGGTGTTACACATTTTTTCATACATCGGACTAATAATTCCTGCACACAATTTTCCATGACATAAAGGATAATGCTACATGTAATAAAATTAGAAGATATATTCTATTTCTTTGTTGTATAAACGCAACTTTTCTT